ACATACACACAATGCGGTAGTAGCATGTTGGAGAAGACACAGCAGAGATGGGGATGGAGAGAGAAAACCTGCAACAGAGATGCTAACATTCATTTTAACTAGCACTTGTATCAGTAACATTAGTTAACCTCACTTAATAGGCAAGAAAATGAAATTCAGGGAGGTTAAATTCAATGTCGAGCCATGCAGTAATTGGGAGGCAGGCCCAGGAAAAGGACAGGACAGAACAGAGCTGTGAAACACTTAGTGAACCAAATTCAATGGATAATCAAGTGTTTCTTATTCACAATGGCAAGTTTCTCAAAAGCATTTGCAAGTGCACGTCAGGATTGCAGATGTCTTCCAGACACTGTAAGCTGCTTTCTCACCTGGACTATTCACCATGTACAGACGTGGAGACCATCCCTTGCATCAGATTTGCAGACTAGCTTGTACCATCTTAACAGCAGTCATGACAGCAGTGTCTCTGAATACTGACCATGTGTAGTGAATGAGGTGTTGCCTTGAAAGTGCCCAAACGGATTCTTGGCATGTTGTTCCACGATGTGGGCTAAGACAAGTTTATTTTGCCACCTCATTTGTACATTGTTTCTGAACAGGATCTATGGGCCAGTAATTTTCAAATAGCCTATTTTATCTTTCCTAGCCCATCTACAATTTGAAAAAACAGCAATTTATAACATGGTCACTTTCACCGAAACACTGATGGATGGATGGATGGATGGATGGATGGATGGATAGACAGATAGACAAATTTTTATATCTATATCTAAATATACATTATCTATTATCTATCAATCAATCAATCAATCTATCTACCTACCTTCCTACCTATTTATCTATCTACCAACCTACCAGATGAACAAAGAAAAGGTTCAACTTGGAAATGGAGAAAATGCCCAGCCACATACTTTTTCTTGGGATGAATTTGGTTTATGGAGAGTACTGTAGAAAATGTCCTCAGGTTCAGGTGCTTGGTACCCTGTCTATCCTGTCCAAGGTTGAGTCAGGGGAATAGGGTTCAACCTTGACATATCATCATAATAAAAAAACAACATAATGCCAACCACAGAAGACCCTATGTATGGCTAAGACTCTTAGTTTATTTTTATCCTCCTGACCTAGCTGAACTATTCCAGACCACTTTTTTCTGCCCACTATTTTATAACTAAAATTGTCAAATGCACTAAAAATTTGAAATGATTATATGGTGGACCTCCTTATACCCATCACCTAGATTCTTCAGTTGTTATGTGTTGTTCAACTTGTGCTTTGGACTAAAAGTATGTATTTTCCCAAATTCACATATTGAAGCCCTATTCCTCAGTGTAATGCCATTCGAAGGTGTGTTGGTATTTGAGGACTTTGGGAAGTCATTAGATCACAAGGGTGAAGCTCTCGTGAATGGGATTAGTGCCATAAGACAGACATTGGAGAGGTGATTTTTTTTCTTCCTCTTGTTATGTGAGGACATAGCAAGAAGGTCCTGTCTGCAAACTAGGAGGATGATTCTCACGAGGACCTCAATCAGCTGGCACCTTAATCTTGGATTTCCTAGCCTCTACCACCATGAGAAATAAATTTTTGTTGTTTAAGTTGCTCAGTCTAATGCAGTTTCTGACATTATGAATAAAGATGTCGTGAACATCCTCATGCAGATCTTTTTAAAAACTTATGGGTAAATGCCTAAGAATGGAACTGCTGGATTTTCGGTGCATATTTTGTTGTATAAGAAAGTGCTAGGCCTTTTCCCTAAGTGGTTTTTTCATTTTCCACACTTGGTGAAATTGGTCTTTTTAGTTTTAGCCATTCTGCATTGAGGGTGTGGGGTTCGGTGTAGAGACTCGAATCTCTAAGTATGCTCCCACTGGCTCCTGCTCATCAGAATAAAACCTGCCCCTTATTGAGCCTTCTCCCCAAGGATTTAACTCAGAAGTTCGGGGAGGGAAGCTTACATTTCAGTGGCTTGTTTTGTGTAAGACCCTAACAGAGGAGAGGAATTTCATGTACTATTTATCTAACTCTTTGAAGACAAGTTTAAAATATCAGCACAGTCATCTGACTGAATCAAGCTGGTGAATTCAAAGTTATCTTCTGCTTCATGATATATCTTGAGACAGAAAATTCTCACATCTAAATCCCAGCCTTAGTCTCTGTTTCCAGCAAGATTTACAAACGCCAATATTCTAGGGAAGGCAAGTTCCCAATACTCAGGCTTGGCCCATTTTCCTTCAGCTTCCCTAAGAACTATTCTTCACATTATCATAACCACCCAGTAAGACAGGGTTGGTGTCCTTTCTTCACAGACAAAATAGCTGCACCTGTGCCCAGAGTCCCAAGCACAGGATTTGGGACCTGTACACATACATGTTCCTGCATGTGTCTCCCCCGGCAGGCACCTCCTTTGTGGTAGATGCTGACACAGAGCTTTGGTCCCATGCTCTGCCCTCCCTCCACCTCCACCTCGGAGGCCAGTGTACTTGGCAAGGTCTCTCCACCACCCCCCACTCCCAGTCCCATTCATTTCCCCACTTGCGTCCTCTCTCCTTCTCCCCGCCTCACCCCACCCCCATTTCTTCCAACTCTGCTCAGAGACCTCATAAAACTCTTGTTCCCTCACCCTTTCTCTCTCTTGTTCTCCTCCATATGGGAACTAAAAATGTATCTGAAGCCTGCCTGACGACTGCCAAAGTAGTGCTAGTGGCGTAGTGAAGTGAGACATAATGAAGAACCAATGCCGTCAACATCTAAAGCCCTTGAAAGTACCAAGAGGTCCCTTTCAGAATGTCCACAAAGGAACCCTCTGCTTTCTCAACCCCTCCTAATTAAGCTGGATTTTCCTCAAGTACCAGCATTCTACATAAACAAAAAACTTTTGTCTTCCCTATTGGGTTTCTGTTTTAATTAATAGCATCACAGCAACATTGTCTTCTATTACTTTGATTGCAAAGACATAGCATGTCAGTTACATTTTAAGTTGAATTGCAACACTATGTCTATGAAAAATAATGTCATAAATGCCAAACTGGCTTAAAACTTCTAGAACCAAATCAATTTCTAAATTAGAACTTGCATTTTTTCCTATTTTGTTTTAAACATGGGTCACAAGAATTTCCCTTTGGCATATTTTCTTTCATATAAAAATGTATGAAAATACAATAATAACATCCTCAATATCACAGCTTATATGCAGTATGCCAACCTACGTATTGCTATGACCCCATTTTACAGATGAGGAAACTGAGATTCAGAAAACTTTAGGAACTCACAGCTGGTAAGTGGCAGAGCCTGAATTCACACTTTAGTTTTTGGGCCTCCAGCTGATGCTTTCTTAGCTACCATGTTGTCCTCCCTCACCCACTGTATTGCCTGGTACCACCTAGCACACAAAGTTTCCCAGCATGAACTGGAATGAATCATGACTGTCTGATCCATCTCCCCATCATTCTCTGCAGCACCACCATGTTGTTTCCCCCAGATTGTTCAGATCTCACCAAACTTCTTGAGGACAGAGAAAGAGACCAGCAAAAGCTCTGAAGATAAAGCAGTAAATCCAGATCTTTCATAAATCCAGAGCTATTTTAAAAAGCAAAGCTGTACCTAACAAAGAGAGTTTAGCTATGCAATTAATAATCAGCATCTATTAAGCATTTTAAATAACTCTCATCTGACTCAGAGTGTCAACACAGATTATGTTTTATGCACCTACCCAGAGTGGGAGCTTTCCTTTCAAACTTGCTCTAATGGGCTTCATACAGGTTGGCTAACAAGATACCATTGAACAGAGACTTCATGGGGTGCAGCATAGTTAAAGGCTAAAAAGAACCAAGATTTGGTTGTTGGACCCAACCTTTTTCTACCAGCTCTGCTGGCTCTTCACCTGATGCTAACATGTGAGGCCAGAGTCCATTGACTCCTACAGCCTACCATGTTGTTATTGATTTCATTCTCATATCAGGAAGACTTTGGTGTCGATGAGGGGCAGGCTCACTTGCCCACTTGCCCTTTGGTGTCGATGAGGGGCAGGCTCACTAGCTTCCTGTATTGAAAGGCCGAAAATTCAACATTTTTCAGACTCTCTTGCAGCTAGCATTCTGGATACAAACTGGGTTCCTGTGACTGGATGTACTTGCATGAGATCCAGAAGACACAATTGAGGCAAAAATCATCTTCCTATCCCCTTTTAAGATTTTTGTTTGTTTGTTTGGCTGACAAGTAAGATCATGAAAGGTAAGCTCATTTTTAGCAGCAACGTTCCAGTGTTCAAAAGGAGCTTCTAGGGTACTGAGAGGTAGTTGGCAGGAGCTGCTTTCTTATTCTGATTTCCTGAACCCTGGACTGCAGCTATTGGCATATGTCTTAAGCTCCTTTTTCCAGTAGTGACCTCAGAAGTGGCGAGTCAGGCCTGTATTCCCCAGATCTTCCTCCTTCACGTCGTCTTTTGTCAACACAATAACCATTAACATTTCTAGTATGCTCACTATGTGTTAGGCACTATGCTAACACTCTACAAAAATCATTTTATTTATACCCCAAAAGAACTCCATGAAGAAGATACTATTAATAACCTTTTGTTCTAAATGAGTCTACCAAGATTCAGAGAAGACAGGCAAATTGCACAGATCAAAGCAAAGATAGTGGGTAAGAGAATAGACCAGCCTCACTCCAACACCTGAGCTCTACCTCTTTAAAGGTGTTTGAGGGCCTGGGACTTATTAGCAGATTTTAATTGCCCATACACATTGTGTTGCTGAAAAGACATCATTCCTTCCTCTTAGATAATATACACATAAAGGTCAGCCTATTTCATGTCAAGATATGTCTAGATATTGGAGGAGCCTTCAACCTAATTAAATAGAAAGGCAATTTTAAAACCCAGAGGTATCACTTTGTAAAAACTCTCTAAGTCATACCAAGATAACTTTTATTCTACAAGTTAAAGAATTAAAGTGAAAGCGGACACAGCCTTGTACTTGCCCCTGGAAGGAGCATGTACTTACCAGGCGCTCTGTTCACAGCGAGGTTTCGGAAATGGCTGCCTTTGATCATTTCCACAGATAATCGACCCGTTGTGGCATTATAGGACAGACCCACCAACAGCTCTGGCGCCCCTCCATGAGACAGCGACTGCGTGGATGAAGCACTATCACTGTGAGAAACGGCAGATGGGCTGAGCGGAGACTCTCCACTCTGGAGGGGAAGAAAAACAAAGAATCCATTGGCCCATGCTGCACTACTCTCCCTTACAGAAAGGCAATACTATGTTTGGTGAAATTGTCGCCCAATCTCAACGGCTGCCAAAGATTACTGAGGAAGGGCGCACTCCGCGTGAATGATAATGGGTCTGGGAAGTGCAGCCGTGGATGAGAGCCCTTGCATTATCAGCTGACATCTTTGTTTCAAGAACTGTCTCCATTCAATATTTCCTCTCTAAGACAAAACGAGCCAAGGTGTTATTACTGGTGTAAATCAAACCATCTAAGATACATAGAAAACTAATAATACATTTAATACAGACCCAAATTCCCTGCTGTGTAATTTGTGCTCCAGTGTTTCTGTGGAACCCATCCACTCTGTTCTCTGAAGCTCTGTGATGAATGTAGCAATTCAAAGGGCATTTTGTCTTCACTAGGAAAAAAAATGACCGCTGGATGTCTACCACTGCACAGAACATTTGGCCCCTAGTTCTGCTTCTTAAGGTCAGGAATATGCCAGATGCTATATATTTTCTCCTAAGAAATAAATTACACTGAGAGTGAGCACTTTTACAAATTTTTGATACAGAAGGTGACACGTGACTGCAATCTCAGAGGCCTTGCAGGCACCAGGTGTGTCCGGGGAGAGCCCACACCTTCTGTTATGTTACTCATGAGCACACTTCCCCAAAGCACCCACTTATGCTCCAGACGCGTCGGGAGGAGGTGAGTAAAGCAGATCACCGAGTGGATTCTCATTCAGGGAGGGGAGTAGGAGTCAGCTCCGCAGGGGAAGCCAGCCAGCCGCCCTGAGCCACCACCTCCTCCACCAGAAACAAGTACATCAGGCTTTGCTCAAACCGTTCTCCTCCACATTGAAAATCATTTCCTAAGACTTCTTATCAGTAACACCAATGAATCAATGCACTAAAAATAATTAAATATTTTTTTACATCTGTAGGAACTATCTTGTTTACCAAGCCATGCACATCTAGAGCCCGGGCTTTCATGAAACACAATTTGTAAACTACCGGGCTGGGTGGCTTTGATAGGTGCCTACAGCCCCTGCTGGATGATGATAACCCAACAATGGAATGTTTGCTGAGTTTTGGGGAGGGTCACCCCCTCCCCTCTGCTTCTGCAGAAGCATCCACTGTGGCACCTATCTCTGCCTAGCTTGCCTCTCCCATCAATCGCCCAGGCCCTTGTACAACATCGTGATTTTCTTCAGGCTGTGCCCCCCTTCAGATGCCATTTGCTGTCATTGTTCACTTGGGAAACTCAGACTTCTCCAATCTTATCATCTCTCAGCCCCCAGGGCACACGTAAGCCACTGGCTGGCATACTATCACACTCAACCAACAACTGGAGAGGGGGACATTTTGACCCTCAAAGTTCTTTCATGCTGACACATTTTCCCCACTCAACTCTGTGCTCCCAGCAGCAGCAAAAGGCCTGGCACACAGAGACAGGGGTGTGGTCACACCTATCCCAAAGCTCCATGGTGCAGGCGGACCCCTTCTGCCCTCCTGTGGCTTCTGCTTTTTCATGACGTCAGATGCGCTCTACTCGGGGCTTAGGAAGAAAAGAGGGACTGGAGATGAGATGTAATCTTCTTATGGGTCCTTTTTTACTTAATATTTTTAATATAATCTTTATTATATATTTTTCCATTACCATTTAGTCCCCTTATAGTCCCCTCTCCCCAGCAACCACCTCATGTTGGGTTTTAAAGGCTCATTCTGAGTCCATGTTGGGAAGAGTCTGAGGGGGAAAGGAAGCAGGGAGAACACCAGGAGGCCATTTCATCCAGCAGATGGATGGGATCTGGTTATATTTTGAAGATGGAACCAATAGGATTTTGACCTGAGCAACTAAAAAAGATGAAATTGCCTTTAGCCAAGATGGGAAGACTGTAGGGAGAAAAGATTGAGGGAGGAAACAGTCAGGATTTCAGGCCTGAAGATATTAATTTTGAGATGCCTATTTAAAATGTCAGTGGCTGGATCTCCCACTGCTACAATCCAGCTTTTCTGGCACCTTTCCTCGTCCTCAGACCTGATCAGCTCCTTCCCACCCCCTGACCCACACGCAACCTGGTCCTCCACATGTCACCAGCTTCTTCCCTGGGTTCCCTGAGTTCTGGATTTTATCAGTACCTCAAAGAAACTTTCTCTGACCCTTCTAAACAAATGGCAGCCTCTGTCATGCCCTTCTTTCCTTCCTGCCTTGGTTTACCTATGGCCGCCCTCCTCCACCAGGCTGTCAGCTCCCCAAGGGCAGCGGCATCACCCGTTAGGTTCTTTCCTGCATCCCCTTCCTGACATACAGTAGGCACTCTGTTGGCCCCAAAGCCCAAGATAGCTACCTGATCTTTTTACATTTTATTAAAAGGTGATACTCGTACAAGATGACACATTGCCCATGGCAATAGTGAGACTGCCTATCTTGTAGACACACGAGCTGCTCTGTCTTTCCTTGGCACCCCAGGGGATATAGAGGATGGGGCACATGAAGAAGTTTGGTCATACCAATGGGAGGTCTTAGAAGTGGCTGGAGTTCTGGGCTACTGTTTGCAGCCTGCTCAGGTACATTTGTCAAAGACCTCGCCTTGACAGTCCCATCTCTGAACTTCATCATAGTGCATACTGGGGGCCCAGTGGGGGTTGGAGAAATGGTTGGTAGGACTGTTCATTAGCTGACTAGAAGGCCTAGAAACCTCTCTTGGTTTTCCCATGCCCTCCACACACTGGGTTTTTGTTCCTAAAATGGACATCCATCAGGCTATAGGGAAGATGGGCATGAAAAACCCACTGAAGCATAAAGTGCAAATCATAGCTTAGAAGGATGAGGAGAGCCAAATGGAAAATTAAATTAAAGCATTTGAATTCACAGGCTGAATGTACTAAATCAAGAGATGACAATTCTGCATCCTCAAACACACTGCATCATTAGCAGCACCATTTGACATACTCACACTGATATTACTTCTTGGCTCCAGAACCAGAGTCACTTTTGTTTCCGCTTCTGGGTGCAGGTGGCTCAGGTAGAACAGCTTCTCTCCCATCATTCTCTCACGGGTCATCTTGCGGGCAGCGTACAGGCGGAAGCGGATGGCACAGGCAGCCACATCTCTGGGCTCTAGCTTGGCGAAGATGACCTTCTCCTTGAAGACAGGGTTGGGCCCCCTCTGTATGTTCGTCCTGCCCCTTTGTTTCTTACTGGGCAGCAGGACTACATGAACTTGCCAGGAGTTGATGCCACTTCGGTCCTTATCCGGGAGGCCCTGTGCTCTCACGATGGTCACTGTGAGTTTCTGGCTGGCAGCTCTATATTCAAAGATGACATCCAGATCACCACATTTTGAGATGGGCTCTGGGACCCCAGATGGCACCTGAAAATTGGCCCCATCTTGCTCCTGTTGCAGACAGAGGAAATGATTAGGAATGGAAATGATAACGCCCAACATTTAGGTGAGACTGTGTCCCTCTGAAGTTGCAGGTGCAACTTCAGAACCCTGTACTTTGACTGTTAGCTCAGATCCCTCTATATTAAAAGGTCTGTTTACTGGCCTATTTCTCCATCAGACTGTGAATTTTTTGAGGGCACAATGCCTGGCATATGGGGAGCCTTCATGAATACTTTTGGAATAAATGAACAAAGCTTTTATGTATTGCAGTTTTCATCTACAGTGCCTCTCAAAAAAATACAATAGACCACTATCATTGAAACCAACTGAGATACAAAGTCTAAAATTATTCAACTACACAACTGCCAAGGGGTAACTACCTTGAGTCCAAAGAGAAATGGTTAAGCCTGGGACTGTGCTCTGTCGGCCAGGACCTCCTGACGAAAATAATCCTAATGAAATTGGGGTCATGGACAGCTGATCCCTCAGGAGATATTCAGTCTACACGAGAGAAACACTTAGGGCAGAGCCTCTCAAATGTTCATGTGAACTTGCATCATCCAGGGATTTTAATTCGGTAGAACTGGGGTGGGGTCTGAGATTCTACAATTCACAGAAGGTTACGAGGATGTCACAGCTGGCCTCATACCAGAGTTTGAGTAGCAATGGTTTAGGGAGGCACCCGCCACATCCATTTAGTGAACAGCAACATTAGACCTGAAGACAGGACACCTAGGCTGAATATATACACAAGTGCCAAACAGAAATCATAGCTCTACCACTGACTAGCTTTTTGACCCTGGCCCAATAGGCCATCCTTTCTGTACTCTTGCTGAAAAAAAAAAATGAGCATTAAGATGTCTACTTGATAGAGTGCTGTTGTGAGGTTTTAACAGACGTGAAGAAATACCTGGCTCAGAACAGACTCTATAAATATCTATTCCCATCAGTAGACTGGTGCTACCTATTTTCAAACAGGCTCCCATTATGAAATATCACCCTTAGACAGCGGTGCACCTGTAGCCAGTCAGATCTGATGACCTCACTGGGAAAACTGAGCTAAACTGCATTTACTGTAATGAACCACCCTCCAACAAACTATAAATAATGTCAACCTAATTTGATTTTTCCTCTAAAGGCACGACTCTGAGCCAAAGCTAAACTTTGTTCTGATTTCTTATTGTAAATCAGAATCAGTTCCTATTTATGTGATGGAACACCAGACTTTGCTAATTTAAAGACCTTATTTAAATATATATATAAAATACCTCAAAAATGCACCTGCATCAACATAACTTTCCAACAGAGCTCAAGTAAAAGTACATGCTTCTGTGGAGTGAGACAGCCTTAGAAATCCCAGGTCTACCACTTGCTACCGCAAAGATATTGGGCAAGTTATTTAATCCTTTCCACTTTCTGTTTTTCTCAAAAGTAAAATAGAAAGGGTACCTACTTTACAGGGTTGTTGTGAAAATTAAAAGACTCGACATATAGGAGACATCTATTAAATGCCCTCTCTCTTAAAATTCACATTAGTCTAGCAAGAAAATTTAGGCTTTTTGCAAAATAAGGGAAGATCTTCTCTTTTTCTCAGAGCATGCATGCATTCATGTGTGAGTGTTTCTATTCAGAGGTACTTAGTTTCAAGTGATAAAACTGGTTGCTATAGAGACTTTTGAATACAACTGACTAGTGTAGATATAATATTAGAATCAAGTCTCCAAGGAGTTAGGCCAACTCAAAACTCAAGTCACAGTCTTCTGTTAAAACTCCCATCTATTTTAGCCTACTCTTGATCATCTCTATACTGCTTGCCAGAGCATACTAATAATAGATAACATACCAAACCCTGACTTATGCCAGATACCATACTATACCCTTTAAGACTACAAAAGCCCACTTTTATGCACTTCAGACCTTCTTGGTCTTACATCTATTCCATCTTCCCCTACAGACACAGCCTGTCTAGGCTTTAAGTGGCTTCAGCCTGGTGAAACTCAGTAAAGTCTTACCTCCTGCCATGCTACGTGACTCTCAGCTGCCACCAAAGGCTCTCTGTTGATGTCAAGGCTTGAAAAGTTACAGAATCCTGCTTGGCACTCATGCATAGAAAGTTCAATGTGTGTGTGGGGGGGGGGGGTGGGGGAGGAGGTAATGCCTCATGCACTCAACTCTTCTCCCCTTGGAAAGCTTATAGAGTCAAGTCCCACAAGATCAAGCTGGGAGTCACGCTAAATGGTGCCAACCTGAGTATACTCATAATGACACTCAGTTCCTCCCTGCTCACTACCTTGTCCTTCACTCTTTCCTATTCTTTTTTTTGGGAAATGTACCTAAGAAATATTATCTTTTAAGATATTCACGTTGACCTAACGAGGTAGGTATTTTAATATCTTCTTTTTAATGAGGGAGAGAACTAAGGCTCGGAAAAGCTAAGTAACTCACTCCCTGCCCCCAACACCATAAGCCCAGCCAGGACTATCTAGGGTTTACCAGTATGAATACTTAAAATCCAAAACCTTATGTTGAACACGATGTCTCCCTTCTCTCCCCAAACCTTTCACCATGGTTACTTATATGTGTAGTAAGTATGTGAGATAAAGAGGGAGTAAGATGGGAGAAGGGAGTTAGAAACACGCACTACTTTGAGTTTCACACCCTTTTAGGCCCCCACTCTTAATATGTGTTAACAATTTCCAGTTTTATCATCAACTTCAAAGCCAAGGTAAAAATATCCTAGTGAATGACTATCTCTCCACTTATCCATCCGGCTATCTCTGTTCAGATAAACGCTCACTGCACCTGCAGGTTTGCGGTAAAGTCCTGGAGGGTGAGGGGCTCTGTGATAACTAAATAAGACACAGCTCCAGGCAAAGACCAGGCTCTGGATGGAGTCAATCCAAGCAGTGGCCCATGAAAATGGGAGTTTGTGGCCCGCCCCTTCCTAGGTTGATCTGAAATGAAGATTTGTGGAGGCTGGTATTTTCAGAGCAATTAATCATTTCAACACACATTACCTATCACCAGGCAACCAAAGGAGCTCCTCATGTGGGTACTGTTAATATCACTAATCCATCTGACCTTCCTGCAAGGTAAAAATCTCTTCATTTTTATCCCCATTTGGCAGATTTTAATTAACTTCTCAAGGCCAACCAGTTAATCAGTAGAAACAGCGATGCAAAGTGGGACACCTGCCTCCCTGTGAGCTCAGCACCACCAGCTGCCTCCCCAATGTCTTCCCCACCGAGCAGTGGGTTTGCAGGAAAATGTCGATGGCCTTTTCCAACAGAGAAGAACAGCACATGACAATCCATCCACCTAACAGGGAGTCACACAGCATGACCGGTTTCCTTCCGAGTCAAAATAAATGATTCCTTCAGCTCTAATAGCCTGGGGCTTTCTGTAAGATGGGAATACTTGTACCACATTGTCCAAAACCCATGTAGATTTAAAGATTTTCTATCCAACTGAAAGCCTTTCTGTTTTAGTGAGATAGCGTTGATGTCATCTGTGCAGCCCGAAGTCAAGAGGCCCACGATGTGTTCCCGATGCCAGACACACGGGGGAAGACGGGGTTCTTAACACAGCTAAGAGGCAAATAAATCAATTCTTAAAAGGCGAGCTAAGCCTGCCAAGCAGGCAGTTACAGGAATTGCCTCTGAGCTGCATTTGAGGTTCTACTGTAAGAGCACAAATTACAGTTTTTGTCTCAAAATAGATAGGAGGTTGAATGGAGCACACGGAGATGTCTGGGTATTTTTGGAGTCTGAGAACATTGAGTGCCCTCCACACCAAGTCTTCTATAAAAGCTTCACAAGGCAGGCAAATTCCCAGGCTAATGGTACAGTGATCAAGGGGATGGAGTACCACTAGGCAGGTAAACAGTTCTGTTTTGTTTTTCTGGTAAGAGAGCCAAAAAGAATATTTTTAAATGTTAACTGTTACAGTGTGGGACTTGATATGACTCTTTGCAGTAAACTGACAGGGAAGCACAACTTTTTTTTTACAAAACTTATAAGGTTAATAGCTTTGGGTGTCTCAATATAAAGGGCTGCTTTTAACAAGCCACACACCACATATCTGAGTCACCATGTCCTTGTCCTTAGCAGGATGACCAACTCACGGGCAGGCATGCACATGTGCACACCTCCTTACCCTCTCTCCGCACACCCCAGTGCATGAGCAGTAAGGGTTTGGAACATGATTTTCTGTAATCTTTTCCCTTCTCTTTGATGTGCATTTGTGTGTATGATAGTCCAGGCCCTGATAAGAGAGTCATCCTATTTATTTTCTTGGCCATCCTGATGCTAACAAAACCCATTCACCCTTCTCCTTCCTCTATCCCCACAACTTATGCTGAAGTTTTATATACTTATATGACATTGCATCAAAATTAATTTCAATGAAGGTATTAGACATCACTATTTAATATCTCTTAATGTTATAGAATCATTATAGGATGGATGTAGCTAATAAGGAATAACCATAAATGCTGATAAGATAAAACCATATTTGTAAAATCCTAACCCTAACCCTAACCCTAACCCTAACCCTAACCCTAACCCTAGGAAGCAGGAGAGATTTTGCCTGAAAGAAGGGTGCAAGGACTTTTGCTAGTAGGCGATGAGAAGGTGCCGGGATCTTTGGATTAACTGAAGATCCTGGCGGCGACACAGCTGATGGTGCCGGGAGCCTGAATCACAGATTTCTACTTCTTTTCCTGAGATAGGGTACCCCAGATTAGAGCAGAGGGAGAAGGAAGAACTATGTGTGTCTGTGGGTATCCTAAAGGACTTTGATATTTTAATGAACACATTAGGTCACTACTTTTTAAGTCTGTATAGCTTTAAATGAACATTTCCTTTCCTTTTCACAAATCTCTGGCATTAAGAGATATCTTTCCTCTGGTGGTAGACAATGCGAACCTAGTGGGGGGTCCTTTTGGTAATAGTATATCGTACCCCGTTGGCCCTGTTCTGTAACAAGGTCATCATCATAATAGCTTGTACAGTTTCACTTGGAGGACCACTGTGTTTTAGTTAAATTTTCAAGTAATTCTCATATTCAAGTAATCGTAACCGAAGATTTGGGGTAAATAAAAATAGACTCCAGCTAATAGAAACCATAAGAGAAATAAACGAGTCTCCCCAAAGAACAAAAAAGCCCTTTATGCGAAAAAGAAACCGGATTGTTGCTGGGCCCATCCTTCTGCCATTCTTCCTCCTGTTTTTCCATGTTGATAGAAATGTATTTGTGGTTCTTCTATTGGTCCACATAGGGGTCAGAACTTGGTCACCCGAACAAAAGTTTATTTAAATAAATGCTGTTTAGGTCTTTCTTTTTCAAGGCAATGCTTTGTTTTGGAGGAATTTTTCCTTGAGGGATGGGGGAGGGGTGGAGAGCAAGAACTAGACAGAGCACAAAACACTGAAGCAAGAAAAGACTAGAAAACACATAACTTGCCTCTGGACTCCACACAGAGGAGCTGTCAGTGGCATAGGAGTCTTCGAGCCCCCGGTTATTGAAAGCAGTCTCCGTCTCCAAGCTGCCCTCCGTGGACTGGCGACGGAGGCTGTGCACCACACCGGTCTCCTGGCGGGGTGCGCCCTGGTGCCTGGCATCGCCTGCCTCACACGGGGACCGTGAGGGGGCAGAGATGGGATCCTCTTCACCATAAGACAGATTCTCAGGATAATTCAGTTGGCTGGCTCCATCCAAATCTGAATTTACAATAAGGAAACGATTTCAAATATATTATTATTTTATACCTTTTTATCTAGAGAAATTGGGCAACAGCAATTATACCAGTCAAGACCTCAAAAACAAAACCTATAAAATAACACCTGCAGAAACATCATTCTAATCATTTAATGGATAAACTTGGTCCATAGAATCAAAAAGACCATTAGTTCACTATGTGGGGTAGAAGGTTAAATACTTTCTAATAATATGGTTATAAAGGGTGTGTGTTTATATAAGGAGGATAAATTAAACACATTAGCATTTTGTTGGAGCTAATGACCACAAACAAAACTTTGGGGATGGATCTAGAAAGCAAGAACAGTAACCAACTAAGGAGGCTATATGGTCTCCTGACTCTACCATTCTTTCTCTTCTCTTCCAAGTCCAACATGCTACCCTCTGCTCAAAACACTTCAGTGGTTCTCTCAAGTACAAATTTCTCTACTTGATTCATGCAAAGAACACTGGACTTGGTTCCAGATGACCGGAGTTTAAGAACTTAAACAATTTGAACTGTCTGAACCTTTATTTACTTATCTATACAATGATGATAAAAGTTGTCAGAGAGACACATCAAATACTAAAAATATCTATCTGCCTGGTAGCCACCAGACCTTCCATAAATATCAGTCTTGTTTATTTGTGTGGCCCAAGCTGGCCTCATGCAAGCCAGCAAACTTCATTTTCTACTACCTCCCACCTCTCCGTCACCTGTGGCCCCACTGGCTGATGAAAGTGCTAGTTGTGTATTCCTGTTCATGGGAGTTCTCAAGCCGTTCTGCTTGTCCTTTCCTTCCTGTCCATATAAAGCCTCAACAACTACTGAATCTTCCTTCAAATTAGGTGTTTTTCTCAGACCCCATCCTCTTTTTCCTCCTCCTCCTCTTCTCTTCTTTTCTCTTCTTCTGCTTCCTCCCTTACCCTCTCTCAGTATTTCCTTACTCTGTTCATCCCGTGCCTCTCTTTCAATGTCCAGGCTACTCTCCGATAGTAAGAAAAAACTGACAGTGTCTTCCTAAGTTGTTTCTTCCCCCTGACTTGCCTCCCACACCTCCAAAAAAAGCCAAGGATGTCTTATCTCTTTGGCCTTCAGGCTCCCTCAGTAGCCCCCATCCTAGGATGAGAGAACATTAGAGATATAGACAGGATAAGTGAGTAGATGACAAAGTATATACTATAAATTCAGCTCTTACATATACACTGTATGGCAGCAATTGTCTCCATGGTCGTAAGGTTTCAGCTAGAACATAACCTCCTTGAAAGCGCTAAGCCACATACATCTACCGCATAATCTTTATCCACCAGTGGATTTCACTAAACCCTCAACTAACCTCAAAGGCTAAGCAGGTAACAAATACTTGAAGCAACCAAGTGTGTAGCATTATGGACTGATGGTGACAGTGGTTTACCGGCCACTATAGGACCTACCATGTAAACTTAAAAACATATCATCACCTTTGCAAACTATATGGACATGTCTTCAGGCAGACTTGGTCCTCAGCACACAACTTCAGACTCCTGATCTGGGATTTTTCAAAACTCTGGCAAACCAATGAGAAGTTCCCCTATCTGCATTGTTATTTTTAATAATTCAGTTCCAGCCCCTTGGAAACACTTTCATAGGCACCATAACATTTTTACATTCACACTTTCAGTTATTTGGCAAACATACTTTTAAAAAGACCACAGAAAATGACAGAACAAGGGATATTCCATATGCAACACTCTACAATATGAAGCAGAATTTTCTTCCAAGTCTCTAATTAGCACATCCATTCCTCACACACATGAACACTAAAGTGTCCTATTAAACAGTGGGTCATCCATCAACATGCATGGCAGCCAGCAGGATTGCAGTACAAAATCTAACTTGGCCAAGAAATTACCCCCATAAAATTTTCCCATGATTTCAATTCCTGCAGTGATAATACCTAGATCAGTAATAAGGGAATTTCCAAAAGCTACATCAGGCCTTGAAAAGCTATTCATAACTGAAAAATATAAGAACTATATTAATATAACAAACCATTTTCCTTGACAGACATTCAAGGATGAATTAGACAAGCAAATCTGGGGTACAAGTCAAGTTCCAAAGAGCAGGAAAGAGGTGACTCACCATTACATAAAGTAGTCTTCTCGTGCTTTAAATTAAAGAAGATCATGTCAACTTAAACACATACAGAAAAGTAATTGCCCGTTGTCAGAGAAATGTATCCTGGCTTCATAGAAATTATAGGGCATAATTATATCACATCAACCATATTAATTTTAGCAGAGAAATTCTTGAATTTGCTTAGTCCTTACCCTACTTTGATGGGATGTAACCAGTTCTTTGACACTCCCATACTCCTCTCTCCCACCACAACCCAAACACAGATACTTTGCTTGCCAGTTTTATGCGGCTGACCTATAAGCCCCAATTATTCAATCAAACACTAATTTAGGTGTTGCTGTAAAGGTATTTTGTAGATGTGATTAAAGCCTTTAAGCAGTTGACTTTATGTGAAGGAGACTATCTTGCATAATCAGTCCATTAAAAGGCCTTAAAAGGAGAACTAAGGGGACCTTGGAAAAGAAGAAATTTCACGTGTGCACTGCAGCTTTGGCTGGTGCCTGTGAGTTGAAGCCTAGCCTTCCCAGCAGCCACTGCTGTGCGTTTCAGAACTGTGTTGCCCAGCCAGCCTCCACAAGCGCAAAGGAAATTCTTTGCACTCACAGCTCTCTCTCCCGCAGGAAAGAGGAGAGAAGAGTTGTGAGTACATAAGACACAGTTTATTCTTGTATTTGTATTAATTATTGTACTATTTTCCATACAAACAACTGTAAACCTACTGTTGCCTCATCCTGATATACATTTAATTCTGATTGATACATCGTTCCCCCACAAAACTGAGCACAGATTCTGAAGATAATTCAGCTATTCCTAATGACCAGGAAGGTAATGTCTAGCTTCTTTGTAATATCCTAAAAACTAAATATTTCACACACAAATTAAGGTCTGGCACAAAAATAGGGGTGGGGGGAACTTCAAGAAGTACATTATTATTCTGTAGCCCACCTTTCATGCCCAAAGATCTGATGCACAGCCTCTGATCCAGATCACTTAGCCCAAACCCTCTGACATCATCAGGAATGCAGTGACAATTGATGCAACATAACACTAACTCAGACAGATGAGACAAGAGAACACTTGGCTAGAATATGAAGATAGCATGGTCTTGATTCTAAACTAGCCTCACCAATCTAGAATGAAGGGTTTCTCTTAGGATGAATCATGAAACAAACTACCAGTAATTTATTTGTGATTCAGATTTGACTTGAATTTGGACCTTTAATTTCACTAGTCCAACATTTTGAATGTGTTTGTAAAGTAAGAATTGTGTACAATTAAATTTGATCTTAGAAAATCATGTTTAAAGTAGAGTGAAAAATAGCTAAATAGAAAACAGGCAAAAAATCCTCTTGGGGTACAGACTTAATCTCTTCCTTATTCTTTATTACTGAAACAAACTCACTGATCAAAAGATGAACCAAAAGAAATGACACAGAAAGATTATCATGCCATATAAATTACTATAACATTCCCATGACATTTGATAACTTAAAATTTAGCATGCATTTATTTATTCCTATGAAAATTCTGCTGGTTTTCTTTAAAACCTATAGGTAATTCATTCACTGCAGTGGACTTTTTCCTCTCTCCAGTCGAGAAAAATTTACCTTTTCTATCACCATCTGTCAAAAAATTCAGAACCACTGGTTATGACAAAAGGTGTTACTAATTTCAGGAATTGTAAGGTTAAAGTGGTTGTCAGAACTCTCAGAACATCAGCCAGTTGTATAAATCAGAAACTAGACTCTTAGGCTTCTGGGAAACGGGGCCACTAGCTTTAGAACTAAACAAGCTACTCCTAGGGAAACAAGTGCTATCACCTTTCATTAGCCAACATTTGCCCTCTCGATGGAGAGAGAGGAATGCTGTGATGTAACTGAGAGACAGAGGAAAGCAGGAAAAGGTGTAAGGAACTGACAGAGGGCCCGTATTATGCTGTGGTTACATAAGGCACTTATTTCCCGGCTTACCTTGGGCTAAAAAGACTAGCAAAAAAAGTGTTATGCTGCCCATGTCAGTAGGTAAAATTACATGACAAATAGTAAATTACGATATTCACACTGAAAAAAAGAGCTCTTTTTGTTAATTCTCTTCTTTTTTCTGCGTTCTTTTTCTGCCCGCCTCATCACATCTCAAGTCACATTTCCTCTCTGTTATCTCCTCTGAATTTTGGACTTTCCCTTTTCTCTTTTCTTTTTCTACCACTCTGTTTCAGAAAACCATGGAAGAGCTCAACTATGCCCCCCTTGGTTTGACTGACCACAATTCCAAAAGAAAAGAAAAAATACATTAGAGAATCCAGGTCGTTTAGCCCAGGTGGCTAAGGTGGATGGCATGACATATTCTCTAGCTTTTCACCAAATACTTCTCAGACCTTTCCCTTTCCCACTGTCCTGTGCCTGCTCAGGGCTCTCAGCATAAAAGAGTCAAAGAGATTCCTGACCTTCATTTGGGAAAGCACTAAGAAATAATGCACTGTTCTTTTTCCAGGTTATTCTGTGTAAGTGGTACAAAAGGAGGAAGACTCTTAACAAGGTCTTCCCTCCATCACTAGCTGTGCTACCTGCCTCGGAGTGTCCTCCCCTCCCTTTTGTGGAGGGCAACCTTAGTATAAAGATGCTAGAGGATGGCATAAGACCTTGCTCTTGCCCGGCAAGTCTCATGTGAAATGGGGGTGGGATGCTCCGAAACTGCAGGGAATGAGGGTGAGGGTGCAGGGCATACGTTGTTTGAGGGAGGTTATTCAGTATTATTGTAATACGTGTTTTTGTTTGGAGAATAAAACATACCTATTGTTTTTAATAATACAAACTAGTCAAAGAAAGGCTTCAAAAATCTTCTGGGGTTACATAGCTATGTGGAAAA